GTTGGTACAAAAGGAAAGGAAGGAGGCCGAAGTCTAAGCCTCTAGATAGTAACATTCCGTGGATAAGCAACGCCGACGGAATCGTGTGATAACCATTGTTTGACTTCTAGAGGTGGAACGAGTAATCTCTGGCAGCCCGCGAGACATGAGTGAGCTAAGGTTGTCAGACAGTCTGCAGCAAAATTCGCAATATTATTAATTTCTTTACACATATAAGTTTAAATTTAATAAAATATAATTAAACCACACAATAGTGACAAAAGAAATTACAAAAATAAGCTAATTATTGATAAGCACTTTACTAATTTAGTATAGATATGTGTAGGTTATATTTGATAGACAAATAAGCTAGCTTATAGCTTATTTGGTTTGTTTGGTAGAACGAGTTTTTTTAAAAAGCTCGAGCTTATTTGATAAGCTTCTTTAGGTAATTTTTCATATAAGCTAGCTAGTTGAATCTTTTATTTCAGCTAGTTTATCAGCTAATTTTAACAAATATTTTTATCATATAAGCTAGCTTTTTAACTATAACTAATAAACTATAAGGTATAAGCTAGTTTAGCAGCTACCAACTAGCTTATCAGCTAGTTTTACCAATAAACAATGACTAATAAATTTCAGTCTATCATTTAATGTGCTATATAACAATATTCAATTCCCAAAAGAAAAATGTGTAACCAAAAAATAATGTTGGGAGAAAAATTTCAGAACACGCGTTACAAATTATTATAAGCAAGATTATTAATTCAAGTTAGATGTGAACAATAAGTGGGGCAAATTTAAATTTATTTATTTCCCTACTAGTAGAAATGTCACAATTGCTAATATTTAATTCTTACAAGTAACATTAATTTAGTTTGGACTTATGGGAAAAAAGGGCTTATTCAAGTCAATTGTGTAAACTATTGGCAATTTGTAAATTACCTTGAAGTTGGCTCCAAATAAACTAATTAAGTGGAAAAAAAATATTAATATGAGAGTCACATTATTTGACTAAAATTATTACAGTTACTATTTAAATGAAAAGAAATTACTGAAAAATAGTAATAAAATGTTGAGCCGTGATAATTTTAATTTTATTAAAAGATTTGCTGCAACGTTATATAATTATTATGTGGATGTGGATATATATATATACATCTATACTCTAAATTATAAATTGTTTAATTTAAAATATTGTTTTATTTTAATTATGGATATTATATATAATTAATATTTAAATTTATTAAGCTCAGTCGACTCGATCCCTTGTGGTTGTAGCTCACACATACATCAATAATTATTTATTTTTATTTTTTATTTTTTTGAAATGAGAATTTAGTTGAGTAGTGGATAAGGAATGACGTCATCGCAAATGACGTCATCGTCTAATTACATTACATCTCGATTAATTAATGAAGCAGGTAAATAACTAAAGTCTAAATATGCATGAATTAGAGATCATGAATATTTAATTCTAGAATTGTCATAATTTATGGATATAGTGGAAATGAAGCAACGAAAATTATTGTAATAGGATAGAGATCATGTTAAACGAAATGATGAGCCACTTCAATCTCGGTTTGACTCGACTTGACTCGTTAAGGTTGAAGTACAGCTCGGCCTCGTCTCGTTTGATTGACGAGGTGAAATCGTGCTTATTGAAAGCTTATTTAATTAAAGAGTCGGCTCGACTCGGTTCGACTCTTTAAGACTCATTAAAGATCGATAATAAGAATGTTTATATAAATTTATATTGTTCGGTTCATTAAGACTCGAGCTCGACTCGATAATTCGATAATATTGAGAAATGAGCTTAGTCTGATCTCGATTACTCGATTACTGACTCGTGTACAACGCTAGATAGGACGCGTCTGGGTCAACATCCGATTTGATTAAAGGCATTCTACAAATCTTCCATCATGTGATGGCATTTTCGAACAAATGGTTAAATCAAAATGAGATAGTCCATGTCTTGTGTCTTCTAGTTCATCATGCGATGACATTTTCGAAAAAATGGTTAGCGTGCATAGATGTTACTGATGTAGCATCATAAGATAACTCTATAATCCACACGAGTCGCGTATTCACAAGTTGAAGTCGAGCCGAATTAGTTAGCTTCATAGCAGCTCGAGCATTAGGGTTCTAAGGTTGTCTTAATTATGCCCGAGCTATCGAGCCCATTGATAGAGCAAGAGGATTATTGGCTCACATGTTACTAGCATTAGGGTTCTAAATGTAATTTTGCAATTACTAGCATTTTAATTTGAAATGGTGCCATTTGTTTGGTAAGAGTTGATGAGGATTCATTTATCATATTCTCTCTTTAATTTGTTATATTAATTTGTAAGATTAGAGAATCGGGGCAAGAAGGTGCGGTCTCACGCAAATGAAGCGCACCATAAGAGGGTGAGCCTAAGTGTACCATAATGAAGTTCTATTTTAAAACCAATTGGTGATATGAGGAGTAGCCCACTTATAAGCTAGGCCCAAATTTCCTATAGAATCAATGTTAGGCAACTCACAACTGATACTCCAACATAATTTATGTTTAAATTATTCATTTCACAACATATTTATACCATTACTTGTCACAATGTTAAATGTATGCTCACATAAGATTCACCATTTTTCAAACAAAATTAACACCATATATTGTGCCTAAGAAACCATGAATTTTCAGTAGAATCTGAATCTGTTATATCACTGCATGGTTTTCTTACTTACATAACACTAAGAATTTTGGTTAAGCCAAGTGCCAATTCATCTTCTATTTTTACCTCGGGACTAATGATAGTCAGGTTAATTCCGAACAAACGTCAATTCGACTTGGCTATCGTTATCTTCCCCCTTCTCTCGAGTTCATGGAGCGTCAAAACTGCAGCTGTATCATACGAACTCTTCTTATCGGCCCTTGCCTCTCCAGTGAGCTCGATTTTCCCAAAATCGGGTATGGTCAAGCTTATTCTCGACTCGAAGCTATTGAAACCCATCGTGTCCCCAAGCTGCACGGGAGTCCTGTGGACGACAGATTCTCTTTAAGCAGCAATAGAAATCATATATGCATCACAAATGCAAGTACATTTGCATATTTGTAATTTAAAAAAGATAAATCGAATTTGTTTCATAAGCGTGCAAGACCTAAGGGGTCATTATGCAATTGACTTTTTTTGGCTAAATTACATTTTTAGTCCTGCCAGATTAACGCCATAGCAATTTTAGTCCCAATGTTCCAACGTTCCACCTTTTGGTCTTATGATATAATATTTTGCTACATTTTCTAAAATTGCAAAAAAAGATCACAAATTTATATCTTTGGGATGAATTTTTATTAGCAATTTAAGTCCTGTAATTTAAAAATTTTGTTGCAATTTTAATCCTCAAATGACTGAAATTGCACTGAAAATGCAGCAAATATTAAATCACAAGACCAAAAGGCAAAAAGTTGGAACCCTTGGGCTAACATTGCTATAACGTTAAACCAACACAACTAAAGATGCATTTTTATCCTTTTTTTTATTTGTCGTGTGAATCTTTGTCCAAGTGCTCACCTCGACTTTTGCTCGGTAGTCTCGAAAGTAGGCATTGGCCACTGTTGTTTCTTGCAGAGGGCATAGAGCGCAGTTCGTGGTCCTCCTTTCTTCATCTCAATAGGCGGCAAAACTATCGAGTTACAAAAAGAAAAAGGGTCTCACAAAATAAAACAAATGAAACTAAATGAAACAAAGAAAAAAAAGAGAGCAAAGTTCTTGTAATGAACCCCATTATTAGTACCTGGGATATCGGCATTCTCTAAATCACTCGTTATTTTTATCATCGGTTGCAATTGAAGCTGTTTTTGCTTTATCATGGCAGATCCACACAATATGTTCCTATCAGCCGAGCTTCGTGATGATGGGTCATCCAAATTTTCCGACTCTTGTATTCTCGATTTGGAAGATTTGATTCCTCTCAACTGCAATCACATGTAAATAAAGATTTGGAAAAATACACAGAACAAAGAGTGCATTCGTAATTCTAAAACAGAGCTGGTGTTTTGTCTTAATTAAACACAAGAACCGAAAAAAGAAAAAAAAAATCATTCTTTGTCACTACAAAAAAGAAAAAAAAAACACACCTCTAACTCCTTGAGTAGGCATATAGCTGCCATTCCCTTTGCGGCTTTGCTGTTGGGTCCCGAGCCTCGGCCCTCTAAGAGCACTTCCTCAAGCTGTAATTTTAAAACGGCATGCACAATTTCTCCTTTCGCTATATGCTCCTTGATGAAGTAACCGAGAGAGTCGCATAATTCAATGAGCTCGCGCGTGGGAGGAAGTTCGAGCTTATCGGGAGTCACAATCGGTGATAAAAGTGGTTTGAAGACTCTCCAAACTTTATCAAGATCAAGTTTTGAGTCGATAAGCACTGCACCTGCTATGCTTTCCACCAAGTCACCAAGTACCTAAACCCCATATATATATTTAGTATTTTTAATCATTCGACACATACATTGATGAACATTACATAATGATATATATATATATATATATATATGCACACATATATATAGCCATGTATATATTGATGTATACTTATTTTGTTTTGATGTATCCATTGGTAAAGTATGATTAGATTAAAAAAAGCATAACTTTTGGCAATTTCCCGGAGAAAAAACTACTCGAACAAAGGGCAGAATTAAGAAGACATATCAAATTAACGATATTAAGCATAATAGAGATTTTGTTATCGAAGATAACTACACTTGATTGAGCTTTCGGTATTAAGAAAAAGGAAGAAAGTTGTCTAAGAGCAAATTCTTTAACTCAATTATATTAATCATCAATTTCGCAATGCATGCCCTTGTCTATGCTACATGGTTCCTTATACTTGTATCATAATTGCTTGATTTTCATATTGTTTTCCATTTTGTGGAATGGAAAAAGCAAGATGCAACCAACAATCAAAAATAGAATTTACAAAGTATTGACAATCGAGCTATAAATTGGAAAAAGATAAAAAATAAAAAAATGAAGTACCTTAGGGGCTTTATTATCCGGAGTTAGGACCGCGGTGCTCATGCGGGACACAGACTCACAAAATGACATTACTTGATCATCGATATGCAATGAGCTGTGCTGAAGGTGGGTGTGAATGTTGTAACGCACAGCAGCAAGGGCAAAGTTGTCATTATTAACAGATGCAGAACGCAAGTCTGTCAACATCCCGGGGTCAACGTTTTTATGATTCTCGTAAAGATGACATGTCATAAGCACGTCCAACACAGCATCGCCTAGAAATTCGAGCCGCTGCCATGTATAAAAGTTAGGTGCAGTAGTTAATAGAAGTTTCAAATTTATTATTGCATTTTATTAGCATGATAGGTGTAAAGGTTCCTCGAGCAGCCTAACTAACCACAAAAGAATAATACTAACAGAAAATTTACTTTCGTGTTTGAAGAAAAAAAATGACAATGTGACAAGAAAGAAAGAAAGAAAGAAAAACGGGTTTTCTTTTAATATTACGAGAAAACATCCGTGAAAGTTTCGACGCAGAATATTCTAAATGCACCGACTTTTGGAAAAATGATAAGTGACAAGAAAGAAAGAAAGAAAAACGGGTTTTCTTTCAATAATACGAGAAAACCTCCGTGAAAGCTTCAACGCAGAATATAAAACCAATGCACCGACTTTTTTATTTGGGGATTTATGTAATCAGGCAGAAGATGATGAGCATTATTTATTCCACCTAAGTTTTCTTTTTTGCTATACTCTTAAGTCTTAACCACCCGAGGGTGGAGTTTAAAAATAAAAGGAAAAAAAAAACATAGATTCAAAAATCACCATATGATGAGGATTGATTCTCTCATTCCATGAAAAAGTAAGCTTCACATTTATTTTTCTAGAAAAATATAAGAAGAAACCAAACCTCAAAGGCTTTTATTCACTTATTGAAAAAAAATTCAACTTCTTTTCATACTTCTGGATTAGCCCAAACATTATTCGGCACGTGTGTTTTGTAAGGCCATAAAAAAACGTTTAATATTAAATATATTTCGGTTCAAACCTCGTACGAGTAGCAAAAACCTTGTTGGCATTCACTCTCGTGTGTTACAGCTTCGATTAGCAACCCTTTTGTCTCAAACTCATACCCAATCTTCGACTCAAGGGCTCCAATCTCCTGATCTCTAGGCCCATGAGAATACAGTGAGCTAGCACAAATAGCCTTCTTTATCAACGAGTGCTCGGTTTCGAGCTCAATCCCGACCCACCTCATGAAACAAAAAGCGGCACTAAACCCACCGGCCACGTAATATGCACCTATGAGAGCCTCCAGACAATCAGACACGGTTTTCGAGGAGATCCAACGGTGGCCCATGCCGCAAGGCTTCCCGAGCATAAGTTTTATATCGTCACTCCAAAATTTGCAGTCGTTTAGAGGGACCTCAGCAGTTTCCACCCCGTGTGTGCATGGGGATGGCCATATCGAGCGCTGACCTGGCGCTGTCCACCGACGGGAATCGAACGGGACATCCCGTACATATTCCTAGGACAAACAAAAAAAATGAAAAAGAATATATGTTAAAAGAGTAAGAAAATTTACGAATTTCTATCTTTGAGGTTAAAGACTATGTTTGGTAAAACTACCTGATACTTATAAGTGATTTTTGAGCTTATGACTTATAGCTGAAAAGTTGGCTTATATATTCGTAAAAAAAAAAAAGAAAGAAAAAAAGTTAGCTTATATGATAAAAGTGTTTAAAATTAGCTGATAAGTTAGTTGAAATAAAAACTTCAACGAGCTTATTTGAAAAAAGAAGCTTATATTATAAACTCGAGCTTTTTAAAAAAGCTCGTCCTACACGAAGCTTATTTGAATACAAGAAGCTTATAAGCTAACCAAATAAGCTATAAGCTAGCTTATTTGATTACCAAACATAGCCTAATTAGAATGATAGTAGCTTCAGGAACATGAAATGAAGAGAGAGTAGGTAAATAGACGAAACGATTTTTTATTTAATAAAAAATTACAGGCTATATGAGATAAGGGTGATTCAATATTGGCACCTGCAATTTACGATCTGTTCCCAATTTGTGGAGAGCCGAGTTGCAAATGATTCTAGAACGATAAGAAGTCAGTTCTCCTTCGTTCTTCTCGGGGTACTTGAAATATAGATGGCAGCTTATGGCATACTTTAAAATTGAATCTCCAAGCAATTCCAATCGCTCCATGGAGAAGCTCTCGCAACATCTTTGAGTGGTGAGAGCTTCCAAAATCTAATTAATTATATCAAAAATAGAAAATCATCAAATCAGGAAGGTAAAACAGAACACTCTAAAAAAAAAAAAAA